AGCAGCTCTGGTTGAACCCAGTGTTTGTGGGGCTGGGAATGTGGAGGGCTCTGCATTCCCTCAGGACTGAGCTGAGCAGGGCCTGGGGACACTGGGATGATGTGACCCCCAGGGAATAAAGGAAATGTTCTTTATACAGTCATGGAATTGTTAGGATTGGAAAACACTTCAAAGACATCGAGTCCAACCATTCCCAGCCCTGCCCAGGCCATCACTCCCCCACATCCCCAGGTGCTGCATCCTCAGGGATTTAAACCCCTCCGGGATGGGCGCTCCCAACATCCCTGGGCAGCTGTGCCAGGGCTGGGAAACCCTTTCCATGAAGGAATTTTTCCAGCATCCAAGCTGAGCCTCCCCTGGTGACAACTGAGGCCATTTCTTCTGATCCTGGAGATTTTTACATGGAAAATAGGAGCCCGACCCCCCCGGCTGTCCCCTCCTGCCAGGGACTTGTGCAGAGCCACAAGGGCCCCCTGAGCCTCCTTTGCTCCAGGCTCAGCCCCTTCCCAGCTCCCTCAGCAATTCTCCAGCCCCTTCCCAGCTCCCTCAGCAATTCTCCAGACCCTTCCCAGCTCCCTCAGCAATTCTCCAGCCCTTCCCAGCTCCCTCAGCAATTCTCCAGCCCTTCCCAGCTCCCTCAGCCGCTTCTGAGACAAGACACCCACATTCCAACATGGAAAATCTTGCTGCAAAGGGAAAGAGGACAATTCCTCATTCCATGCCAGGGTGAGATTCCCTGTCAGCCCTGCAGGGAGCCACAAACCAGCCAGGATAACGGGATTGGTAGGGCAAGGTTTAGACTTAATGAAGAAGAGGACTGGGGGATCCCTTGGGATCCTTTCCAGCTTTATTTTCTATTGCTCCTTTTTTACCAAAGAATTATCCTGGAAAAGCTGTGGCTGCCCCTGGATCCCTGGCAGTGCCCAAGGCCAGGTTGGATGTGGTTTGGAGCAGCCTGGGACAGTGGGATGTGCCTCTGCCATGGCAGGGGTGGGAATGGGTGGGATTTAACATCTCCTACATCCCAAACCATTCTGGAATTCCATAAAACCATCCACCTGCAGTGCTCAGCTCAGAGCATCCTCAGGATTTCCTTTCATGCAAATCCCAGTCACCTCCCCCCAGGAATGCCAGGAATCGTGAAGAGAAATATTTTTTTCCCCCTTCCATAATTCCCTTTGCAGTGCATTGTCTGACTGGCAGGAAACAAAGCAAGTTTATCATGACAGACTTCAGTTTAATCGAGGGATTAAAAGTGAATTAAGCCTCTCTTAATTTGTCTCCCACCACATGCCCCAGACAGAGCAGCAGCTTCAGCTGTGATTTCAATGAGCTGTGGCAGGCAGCTGAAAAATCACGGCTTGAAAGACTCGTCTTGCTCGGGAAAAGTTCCTGGGCTGGTTTATTTTATCCTGGAAGCTGCCAAAACTCAGCCTTAATTTATGGATTAATGATCACCTGCTCTAAACCGGCTGCTAACAGACAATGTAATATCATTTCCAAATGAATCAGTGCCACCCAAGCTGCTTTGTGGAGCGAGATAAAAGCCTGATTTGCTTCTCCTCAATCATATTACAAGAACTATTCTGAGGAGCCCAGAATTCCCGTGGTTTTCTGGGTAAATATCCTGCTTTTTCTCTGGCATTTTGAAACAATGAACTCCCTTGAAAGGCTCCATTCAGGTTATTCTTAGCTCGGAGTGTTCCATGTGCCATTCAGCAGGAGCTGGGGCTAAAATTCCCTTTTTTTAGTGCCTCCTCTGGAAACTGGTGACACCATCAGCTGTCAATAATTCCTCTTGGACACTCAGCAAAGTTGGGCTTGGAGCAGCGAATCCAGGGATTTCTACACAAGGAGGGATTTGTTGCTGCTCAGAGAAACCTGAGCAAAGCACGGTGCAGGTAAAGGCAGAGAGACGGGGATGGAATCACAGAATCATGGAATGGTTTGGGATGGACAGGGCCTTAAATCCCACCCCATTCCACCCCTGCCCTGGGGGTGCTTCCCTTCAAACTTCTTATCTATGGAGATAAGGAATTCACAGATTCATTGCTGCCTTTAGACACAAAATCAATCTCAACAAGCACCTTCTGCTTTAAATTGTATTTAACTGTCCCCTGCGCACAGTGACGCCTCTGGGGTGTTTCCAGCACCCACTTCTGGTTTTGGGGCTGGTTTTGGGGTTTGAGCTGCTCTGTGCTGGAACAAAAGAATCTTTTTGTCTGAAAAGGGAGGTCACAGCATTGGGTGAGGATCCAGGGTCGCATGGAAAAGGTGGAGGGATGGGATTGTCCCGCTCTGTTCCGTCCTCGGGAGACTCCGCCTGGGAAATTCCAGCTCTGGAATTCTCAGCACAAGGAAGCTGTGGATTTGCTGGAGTGATCCAGAGGAGTCCATGGAGCTGCTCCCAGGGCTGGAGCCCCTCTGGATCCAGGTTGGGAGAGCTGGGAATGTTCACCTGGAGAAGGGAAGGGTTCAAGGACTTTCCAGGGACTGAAAGGGCTCCAGGAGCAGCTGGAGAGGGACTGGGGACAAGGGATGGAGGGACAGGACACAGGGAATGGCTCCCAGTGCCAGAGGGCAGGGATGGATGGTGGGATTTCAGACCCAATCCAAACCATTCCATGATTCCATCAAATGCAGAACAGCCAAATTCCCACATTCTGATCCCACAAAGTGCAGCTGAATTAAGCACACTCAGAACCTGATGACAATAAACCTGGGACGTCTTTGTGCCTCTCAGATATTCCGGGCTCTCCATCCCATCCCTCCAGCTTCCAATTAAAACCAGTGGACAGGAGAGGACTGAAACACCTTCAGCTTCAGGCTCTGATTTTCATTACTTTGGATTTATCCTGGATTCCTCCGGATTTACAGTTTCTCTCATTTCTCCGGAGTTACACCGGGTGAAGTTCAGCTGAAGAACTTCTGTGAGGTGAAGTTTTATTAAATGAGCAAAGTTTTGTTTTAGAGTCGCCCTCAGTCCTCAGTCCCTGTCTTTAATGAACTCCTGCATTAATCACTTCTCACATCTAATCCTGCCCTTGATGCTTGTGATCAAATTCCTCATGGAAAAGTGGGAATCTTTGTTATTTTCCAGGCTTGTTTACTTGGGAAATGACTCCAGAAAAGGCAATTTTCTCCTCAAATAACCATGGCATGGGTAAGGTGGGAATAATTCCTTCTTTGGGCAAAATCCCCCTGGGAACACCCATCCTGGGCTCAGGAAAGGAGAGTTTGGTGTTCCCCAAGTGCTGGAACATCAATTCTTTTGAAAATGAGGCTCAACATGAACTGAGACTGTGCTGGCTCCAACAGAAAAGTTATTCCAAGGAAAAACGGGAGTGGGACCAATTCCCACACTCAGTGGATGAGGGTCAGGAGCTGCTCCCAACTCCCAAGCACACCTCCCATAGAAAGGCTTCTCCTGCCATGAAACCAGAGCTGCTCATGAGGGACAAACCTCACTCCAGGATATTTCTTTTCCCTGGAAAAATTAATGGGAGTATAAATTAAGGCCTTCCAAATCATTTTCCCTGATGTCTTTGGAGCAGACCATAATTCCAGCTGCTTCCAAGGGTTGAGGACAGCAGTGGGAAACCACAGATCTATTGTCCAATCAGTAATTCCAAAAAAAGATGGAGGCAGCTCCTTGGAATAAAGCCCTGAGGGCAGGAATGATGGGAAATATGGAAGTGCAAATGAAATTCCTGGTTGATCCTGGCCACGCTCAGCATTTTGTGTTCATTTTCTCCCTGATTTCAGGGCCTCAGACACAAATTATTAAAGCCTAACCCACCCTAATCTAACCTGAACTCTCCAAATGTCCAAACACTTCCTGTGGAATTGTTTTCCAAAGCACGTTCCCCTGAAATTCCCGGCTGGTCAGAAGTCCAAGCTCAGAAGTTTTTTGGTGGGAGGTTCAGAAACCGTTTCAGACACATCCTGTGCTTATCCTGGACACGGAGCCTTTAGGAGAGGTAAAATCTGGGATTCACGTTCTCCCCCCAGCATTCCCGAGTGCATTTCCTGGGATTGACCCCTGGAGTTACAGCCACGACAAGAGGGAGAGACACAAGTGGCTGATCCAAAAGGGACGAGACCAAAAACCCGAATAAATTCACAAGAAATTCCACAAAATGGAAACAGCTTTTCCAGGGATTCTACCTAAAGGCTTTGAGATCTTCCCACAAGAGGATTTCAGCACAATCCCTTGGATATTTCCATTTGGAACAATTAAATCCGAAAGGAAACATTTTGGTTGGAATCGATGAAGGAATTGATGTTTAGGTCGATGTAAGAAAAGGTCAAATCAATCCCCGAAATCAATGCCAGAGTAGAAAAAGGTCGGGTTTTTCCCATGAAATATTTTGTGGAATAAAAATTCTTATGTTTCAACAGCACGGGGAAAACAAGGAACTGTTGTAGGGATTCCAGAGGTCATGGAGCTGCTCCATGGAGCCCCTCTGCTCTGGAGCCAGGCTGGGAGAGCTGGGAATGTTCCCCTGGAGAAGGGAAGGATCCAGGGAGAGCTCAGAGGCAGGGCCTGAAGGGGCTCCAGGAGAGCTCGAGAGGGACTGGGGACAAGGGATGGAGGGACAGGACACAGAGAATGGCTTTTAGCTGGAAAAGGGGAGATTTACGTTGGATATTTGGAAGGAATTCCTGGCTGGAGTGACCAGGACAAGGGGGAATGGCTTTAAGCTGGAAGAGGGTAGATTGAGATGGGATATTGGGAAGGAATTCTTGGCTGGGAGGGTGAGGAGGGGCTGGGCTGGAATTCCCAGATTTGCTGTGGCTGCCCCTGGATCCCTGGAAGTTCCCAAGGTTGGATGGGGCTTGGATCCCCTTGGGACAGTGGGAGGTGTCCCTGCCTGCCAGGGGCTGGAATGAGATGGACCTCAAGGCCCTTCCCACCCAAACCATTCCAGGATTCCCTGAAAGAGCCCGAAATACCAGAGCTGAGTGTGGGCAGGGCAGGAAGTGCTGCTGGAGCTCACCAGTTTTGTTGGAGAGGCGGAAGGACACCATTTTATCCGGGATGCTGCAGACATTCCGCACCGAGGCGATGCAGCTGTAGTTGGCGTAGTCCTGAGGTCGCAGGTTCTTCAGCTTCAGGATCTTTGTTTCTCCCTGGAAAAGGAGGAGAGGACATCAGGAAGGGAGGGAGGGAGGGAAAAAGCGGATACGGATCTGGGAATTCCATCCTCCTCCAACATTCCCGAGCGTGTTTCTTGGGATTGACCGCTGATGTTGCATCCACAAGACACAACCAACGATCCAGGAGGGATGAGCCCAAAAAAAGAGCAAATTCACAAGAAATTCCACAAAATGGAAATAGCTTTTCCAGGGATTCTACCTAAAGGCTTCGAGATCCTCCCACAAAGGATTTCCAAAGGATACAGGGAATATCAACACTGGAAAGCCAGAGGGAAATTGGGTTGATGGAGTCCTTCAAGTCGCAAATTTTTCAGGATGATTTATTTTAAGGTACAATTTCCATGGAGAAAAAATCCCAAGGTACAAAATTCCTCCTGTTTTCCTCCAAAAATGAGGAGCTGCTGGATTCTATTTTTAGCCAGGGAGCTGAACAGGACATGGAATGTCGAATTCCTTCAAACACAGACAGCAGAAAACCGGGAAATGGGAAATGTGAGATTTCGCCCCCTCAAAGTTCCAAAAGAAAAACGTGGAAAATGTTCATTATCCGGTGTCCTGATAAATCTGAACAACTTTAATACTGGCACAGCCTTAGGAACACATGGATTTGATTTTTAACAATACCACAGGGATAAACTCACCAGGAATATCTAGGAAAAATATGGAAGTTTGAGAAAATGAATGTACAGAACTGGGGAAAAATAAAAAAAGAAATCCATCAAAAAAGAAGATCCAGCTGAGTGGGAAAGAAAAGAAACAGTCCTTGAAATTTTGGAGAGATTTTGGGGATAATGGGATTCAAATGGTTTCTATGGACAACCAATCCCATGGAAATGATGGGATTAAAATTAAGCCTTGCAGAAGCTGCTCCTAAGGATCAAATTCCTGCTTTAGGAGGTTCTTCTGAAAGAGGGAAGGGCCCTACCCAGGCTGCCAAAGGCACTGAGCTCTTTCAGAAGAAATTCCCAGCAATTCCCTCTTTTGCTCCAGGTTGAACTTGGGCTGAACTCCCAATGGAATTCTGGATCCCATCCCCAGCTCGCAGAGATTTATAAAAATGTATATATTTTCCCCATTGGTTGGGATAATTAGTCTAATTATGTCTAATTGCATAATTATCGTAAATACAGCAAATTTAATCTCGTGCTCAGGCTGAGCAATTCCAATGAGTGACGAGGAGGATGCAAACTCTCAGGAAAAAAAAACCTCCATCGAGATTTGGGAATTTTATTTTCCCAATGTTTTTGAGGATGAGGATGGGCAGGTTTGCTCCGTTTCTCCCCCCACGGATGCTGGAATAAATGGCCAGCGTTTGCTGATTGACTGGAAAAATCTGGTCATATTTAAGGAATTTGTTTGGATTTTCCCAGTTTTCCAAGTGTCTCCTGTGATTTAATTGCTGGCTGGATTTTGGGATCATCCCAGAGGATGGGTAAAAAGGGGAAAGGGGGGAATTCTGCTTCTGCCCCTCTGCCCTGCACAGGTGAGGCCCCACCTGCAGAGCTGCTCCAGCTCTGGGGACAGAGCAGGGCCTGGAGCTGCTGGAGAGAGTCCAGAGGAATCCATGGAGCTGCTCCAAGAGCTGGAGATGCTCTGGAGCCAGGCTGGGAGAGCTGGGAATGTTCCCCTGGAGAAGGGAAGGATCCAGGGAGAGCTGAGAGCCCCTTGCAGGGCCTGAAGGGGCTCCAGGAGAGCTGGAGAGGGACTGGGGACAAGGGATGGAGGGACAGGAGCCAGGGAATGGCTCCCAGTGCCAGAGGGCAGGGATGGATGGGAGATTGGGAATTGGGAATTGCTGGCTGGGCTGGAATTGCCAGATTTGCTGTGGCTGCCCCTGGATCCCTGGCAGTGCCCAAGGCCAGGCTGGACATTGGGGCTGGAGCAGCCTGGGACAGTGAAAGGTGTCCCTGGGTTGGAATGGGATGGGATTTAAGGTCCCTTCTCACCCAAAGCATTCCAGGATTTTGTGATTATCTGAATAACAAAACCATCAGAAATAACAATCAACCTCTCTTTTGGGTAAAAAAAAAACCCGAGAAGTTTTGTTTCCGTTTCTATTCCATTTCACTTCCAGATTAAAATCCACCTTCAGAGCCCTCAGTGAAAAAGTTCCCTCTTAAAATTCCCAAGTCCTGATTCTCTGAAGCCAAATTCCCTCTGTCCCTCTTCCCATCAGCTCTCCCTATTTGCATCCCTACCATGAAATGAACTAATTAAGCAGAAGATGTTGATGACTCTTGAACCTTTAATTACATCTTCTCCTCTCATAAACACAGAGCAGATCTTGCCTGCACAGATCCCAGCCACACTAATTCCAGCTGCCCTCCAATAACTGCAGAAAGGTTATGGATAAGATTGGAATATCACCAGGACAATCTGATTTATTCATTAATTAAACCCACGCCGAGATTTTAGGAAGGGTGATCGTAATAGCCTAAAAAAAAAAAAAAAAAAATCTAATTTCGTGTGACACATCTTAGTAGATGAATCCTTAGATTTTTAGGGAAGGCAATCCTCAGCATTTCCATAGTGAAATATGAAATTAAAAAAAAATCCACTTTCCCTTTTTAATTAAAACATTTCAAAACTTCAGTTTACACTGGAGCCCAAGCAAAGCCCCAGATTTGCTAAACTGGGTCTGTTCATGTTGAATTAAAAATAATCTCATTACATTTAGGACACCAATAACATGGCTCTGTGATTTAATTCCCATCTCTGCAAGGTTCCGGGCTCCACATTTCTCCGGAAAACACAGAGCTGTTGGAGCAATATAAAGCTGTCAAGTACAATAAAAAGCCACAAATGAAGGTGCTCTCAAATCATTAAGTGAAAATTATTTATGAAAGTCGCAGTTGCTTTCTGCTCTGAACACCAAATTACCAGGCAGTTTTCACCTCTGGCTTCCCTTGCTATTCCTTGGGATTTTCCAAACCAATTTTCCCCCCCTTTTTTTTTCCCTCTTTCTTTGTTTATTTTTATTTTTTCATTCAAACACTATCCCACACTTTTGGCCACAGACAATGGGATCTGCCACCTTTTTTTATCTTTCCTCAGTGTAAATGTGTAAGTGATAAATTAATCTCAGTTTATCCGACAGAGCCAGGATTCCTTGGGGGCTGGGAATGGGAGCAGGAAGACTTGGGAAAAGGTTTTATTTCCTTTTCTGCCACCGCATTTTGAAGTGGGGGAATTGTGAAATGAAACCTTGTATTTAAAGATAAAAGAGGCAGGGAAAAAAGAGTATGAAAACCAGCATGGGGGGGGGTTCACGGAATCACGGAATCATGGAATTTTTCAAGGTTGGAAAAGCCCTCCAAGATCATCAACTCCAACCATCAACCACCACCAGGTTCTCCATTAACCCATGTCCTCAAGTGCCACATCTGCACGGTTTTTGAACACTTCCAGGGATGGAGACTCCACCCCTCTTCTGGACAGCCCATACCTCTTCCATAAAGAGATTTTTCCCTAAAATTTAATCTAAATTTTAGATTTAATTCAATTTAATTTAATTAATCTAAAATCTAATCTAAAATTTAATCTAAAATTTAATCTACGTGAAGAGATTTTAAGGCTGTAATTTAGGCTGAGTGCAGATTCGCTGAGTTGGATCGGGAAGGATAAGGAAATAGGAATTGAATCAGAAGTTTGGGCTTGCAGGACCCAATAAAAATCACTATAAAAGGCCTCCTGTAGATATCGCTCCCTCATAATTTAATAATCCATATTTTTACAAAAATTTAAATATATTTTACGTCAGGAAGTCTATGAACAACATCCAGGAGCATTTGGGTGGGGCATCACAATCTGGAGGCCATCCCCCATCCCCACCCCACAAACCCAGAGGGAAGATCCCGTTACAAAGCCTCAAGACGGGGAAAGAATTCCCGGTTTTCAGGCCTACCTGGGTAAAGAAGGGCTCGTAGATCTCCACTCCCTTGTCAGAGCCCTGCAGCAGCACCTCCTGGCCGCGGCGCCAGCTGTAGCGCACGGGCGGGTTGGAGTTGGCCACGCACCTGAGGAACACGGTCTTCTCATAATAAAACTGCTCCTTGGCTTCCCCAATGCTCTGGTGGACCGTGACTATGGGATCATCCAAATCTGGGGGAAAAAAGAGGTTGGAAAAAACAAATTTAAGCCAGGCTTTAGCCAGCTTGACAACAGCGTGGCGCCGGGAATTTCCTGTGACGCCTCATAACTAGTCAAGGGTAAGACAGAGACAAAACAGCTTGAAAAACCCCAGATTTTAGGGATTTTGCAGGAAAAGTCAGGCTTAGGATTTATTTCCTTCTCCCCAACTGGATCTCCTTCAAAACTCACATTTTTAGGCAGAACAACACAGCCAATCTCATGCTAATGTCAATCATATTTCTATTATAGCACGGTGATTACCGCGGTTTCGTCTGGTTCGCAGCTTTACTCCTTGTTTCTTCTAACTCTTTTCCACAAAATTATAAAGCTTTGGCAATAAATAGACAGCCTGATTTGCATCCAAATGGCAGGATCCAGGAGTCCATGGATCATGTGCACGCAGCTGTTTGCTTTTAAAGCTGCAATTTAAGGCAGCAATTTAATGCAGATTCCCTGCTTTTAGTTACAGGCATTTAACTTCCAGCAGGTAAATTCATCCCGGGCTTTGGAACACATTTCTCTTGATTAAAATACAGATATCAGATAATTACTCCCACTGCAGCAGCTCCAAGAAAATGAGATGCCCACAACCAGGAACTGGCTTCCACAAAGAATAAAAATACAATAGCCCTTGGAATATGAGGATACCAAAGTAATTAATTTGGGCTTTATCCCACCAGGAAAAAGGAGATTCCTGGTCTGGGGTTTTTTCCTGAGCTTTGTCTGGAGGGACGATTTTATTGAGGAAGGAAAGAAATGGGACAAGGGAAAAAACAGAAAGCAAAGGATGTTTTTCTTAAGTACTGGTTAAAAACACACAACTTCCAAATGATAACTCTCACAGCCAGGAATTCCCTATTCCCAATCTCCCATCCATCCCTGCCCTCTGGCACTGGGAGCCATTCCCTGTGTCCTGTCCCTCCATCCCTTGTCCCCAGTCCCTCTCCAGCTCTCCTGGAGCCTCTTTAGGTACCCTCAGCTCTCCCTGGATCCTTCCCTTCTCCAGGTGAACATTCCCAGCTTTCCCAGCCTGGCTCCAGAGCAGCTCCAGCCCTCGGAGCGTCTCCCTGATCTCCTCTCCAACAATTCCATGTTTTTGTTGAGCTGATCTCGGACTCAGCATTCCAGCTGTGCCCTCAAAGCACACAGGAACACAACATTCCATGTGCAGCTCATCCATCCCTGGCTACAACCATTCCAGAACCTTCTCGGAACCGCTTGTTCCTTAAAAGTCCTTAAACCCCTTTGGATAGCGGTTAATTATTCCCTTGTCCCCAAATTTAACCCCATATGTGCAAAGTCTGCTGTGAGTAATTATCAAAATGTCGGTTCATCATTTACTTGGGGCCAAATTTCAGTGAAATGGAGAACGAGGTTCTCAAATCTTCACATGACCAAAAGAAACCAAAGGCACCCACAAATCCCTCTGAAAATGTGGAGAATCCTGGAATTGTTGAGGTTGGAAAAGCCCCCTGAGATCACCAAATCCAACCATCAACCACCACCACGTTCACCACTAAACCACAGCTTCAAGAGCCACATCCACAACTTTTCCAGTTGTGCTGACTCCACCCCTTCCCTGAGCAGCCTCTTCCAAAGCTTGACAATCCATGGAATTCTTAAGGAAGAACTTTGTTAATAAAATAAATAGATTAGAATATACGTAAATTCCATTTTGAAAAGCAACTTCCAGAAAAAAAGACCTAGCCTAAAGACTAAAAATTCATCTAAAGATTAAAAATTCCTCTTTAGCCACTCCATTTCTATTTGCATAAGAAGAGTGAAGCTGGAGAGACTCTTGATTAATTAGAAACAAAACCTGTTCCAAAATTCCCAACAATTCCAGCAATGACACCTCGTAATGGGGCACAGAATTTAAATAAATGTTACCTTCGTCCTCCCCTCCAAAACATTTAATTTGAGATCACAGAAGCAAATTATGGATCTGCTGCTCCAAATTAGGATGGCATTTCCTAATGAGATTTCAGTTTTGTTCGAAAGGTTATTTGAAATCACGGCAGTGCTCGGAAAGGGCTGAGAGTGCTCAGAAATTCTGGCTTCTCCTCATGAGGTTGAAAGCAAAAAAGGAGAAAATTAACTTGCTGCAATTTTTAGGGTCAAACACCTCTTCCCTGAGTTTTGAGGGAGAACAAAATGTTTCCTGCATTGATTCCCAAGTTATCCCTATTAAAGCACATCCCTGGTGGCAAACAAGGAGCCATGAGCTCCATCACCGAGTCCAGGGATGCTCTTCCAACCTCTGACCCTCGGATGAAGGCGAATCCTTGGATAAAAGACCCAAGAGGTCCAAATCTGGGCTCAGCTTCATTTTCATGAAGTTACTCAAGACAAGGCACAGGGAATCCCTCAAAACCTGGAATCAGGACTCAAACCACATCCATCCTTGGCTGCAAGAGCAGGAGAGCTGTTTCCAGGGAAAAATTCCCTCCCATCCAACCCATCCCTGTGAGACAAATTCCTGAGCGCCCTGTGCAGCTGCAGAGGTGGATAGATGGGAACAATGCAGGGAAGGCCACCAAGGTGACCGGAGGCCATCCAGATCCTGAGGGAGCTGGGTTTGGCCAACCTGGAGATGGTTGGATGAAGGGAAAATCCAATTTCTGTCTTCAAATGCATACCAGGGACTCCTGGAGAAGACAAAGGAGAAGCTGGGATGAAGAGCAGATGGAGTTTCTGTCTCCAACTTGCCACCAGGAAGTTCTAGAGAAGATGAAAAACTCTTCTTGGAGGTGCAGAGGAAAGGACCACGAGGTCTAAGCTGCACCAAGAGCAATTTCTCTGGGATATAAGGAAAACAAATTCCCTGTGGAATCAGACAAGTGTCCAGAGGGGCCATGGGACACCTGAAGACATCCAGAGCTGGGCTGGCCACAGACCTGAGGAATGAAGGTGGTGCTGGTTTGAGCAGGGGGTTGGACAAGAGGCCATTTTACATAAATGATTCCAAGTTACTCCATGATTCCAGGAGCTGTGATGCCATCACCTGCTTGTCCAATCTTCTCTCTTGGAACAGGTCTATGCTGGATCATGGAAACATGGAATGGTTTTGCATGGAAGGGATCTTAAATCCCATCCAGTGCCCACCCTGCCATGGCAGGGACAGCTCCCACTGTCCCAGGCTGCTCCAGCCCCAATGTCCAGCCTGGCCTTGGGCACTGCCAGGGATCCAGGGGCAGCCACAGCAAATCTGGCAATTCCAGCCCAGCCAGCAATTCCCAATTCCCAATCTCCCATCCATCCCTGCCCTCTGGCACTGGCAGCCATTCCCTGTGTCCTCTCCCTCCATCCCTTGTCCCCAGTCCCTCTCCAGCTAATCCCTTCCAAGCAAGCACTGAACTATGGCAAGGGATGGATTTTGATAGGAATATCGGGAAGGCTCCAAGAAAACCAAGCTGGGAATGGAACTGCAGCGAAGCCTTTGCCAAAGCATTTCGTAATGGTCAATTAATGGAAAATTCCCACTGCAGAACCCGATGGATTTTTTTTTTTCCAACAGCAGTGCTGGAAAGATCCCGACAGCTGCAGCAAAGCAAAAGCAGAAGCGCTACCAGGCGAGCAAAGAATGCTCCCAAATTTTTGGGAGATCTCCCTGAACATTCCCGGTGTTGGGAAGGGCTGCACAAATGTGTGACTGGGTGGTTACATAAGGCTGGGCTTTGCTCGGGCCATGCGAGAGCTGGAAAATAGAAAAAGCAGGAAAAATACGGTGTTTGGACAAGGAACTCTGCAGGGATATTGCAGGGAAACACCAAAATTCCCTGCCTTTATCCAGGTTGTTTAAATCCACCTGATCCTGGTGCTCATGGAAGTTCTCCAGAATTCCAGCTTCTATTCGGGTTGAGTTGGCACTAATGGACATTCAAGTTTCTAAGCAGATTTAAACCCCGTCCCTGCTTAAAGCTCTGTGCATGTGGGTGGTTGCTCTTCCCCTGCAGCACAGGAATATCCAGGGGTTTGGAAGGCTGAGAGGGAAGGGAAAGCCTTGGAATGGCCACCCAGGGAAACCCCTGGATCCCTGGAAGTGCCCAAGGCCAGATTGGGTGAGGCTTGGAGCAGCCTGGGATGGTGGAAGGTGTTCCTGCCATGGCAGGGGTGGAATGGGATGAGGATTTAAGGCCCCTTCTATCCCAAACCATTCCAGACTCCATAATTTCAAATAGCACACAAAAATAAACCTATAAAGATTTAACACTGGGAAGATCAACAAGACAAATCTCCTCACTGTTTTACCAGAAAGGGAAAAAAAAATATCCCAAAATTTCCATTTTGGGTTGATGAAATTATGAGGAGTCAACAGCTTAATCACTCTTTAAATCAAACTGAAGTCAAGGGTGCTGCTACGTGGTTAAAGTCTCTTAATCAACCTGAAAATAATTACAGAAAGATGTTTCCCACAGAGGTTTGTGCCACCATCAGGTTCAATTTCTCAGTCTTTAATCTCTGAATTGAACCAAACACTCCTCAAAACCCAGGTGGGCCAGGCGTGGTAAACACCAGATTGGAAGAATTCCCCTCACACATCCCTAAGCTCTCGAACAAATGGAAAACTCAGCCTAAGCTGATGAGAATGGGTCTAATCCCAGTTCCCTGGGAATTGCATCCTCATGGTGGAATGGAGGTGCACGGAGTGTGGCAGACACTGTTAAAATCCTCCCTGTGAAGAATTCCAAAGGCATTGAGCTGCCTGGGAGTGAGGAACACGGATCATATCCCCACAGCTCCGACCTGAGCTCCGGGAGAGTCACACAAACACGAACAGCTCGGCAGGATCCAGGCTGGATTTGCTGGATCATCTCCTCCCAGCTGCTGGGCCTGCACATTTGCTGATTTCATTTGTTAATTAGCTGCCTTTGTCTTCAGATGTTCGGAGCAGGAGGGATAAGAATAAAACACATCTGGGAAAGGGATGGGAACGGCTTCATCCCGGCGGGCAGAGCGGAGACAGCGGT